GCGTGCCAAAACTCATGCATTTTAACAGGCTCTCTCAAGCACTCCCCACACCGTGGAATAAAAGCTGACAGGTGCAGCTGAGTTAATCAGAGTGGATAATGGAGGGAAAGAAAGAAATCTCGCACCAAATTGCTGCAGGAATCGTGAGCCCGGGCTCAAAGGTATCCAATTAAATGGGGATGGAGCTTTAAGGCAAAGCCTGCCCTTCCCCTAGCCCGCCATGATGCACAAGGGGGACAGGGGCTTGGGGTTTTACAGGGACCCAGCCCCACGCAGGGAGGGCACAGGCCTCTCAGTGCTGCAGGGTCAGCCCCATCCCAATGCTTTTCCCTGCAGCCACGGTCAGGTCAAGGCGTGTGGTGTCCCAGTGCCACAGCCCTGCAGCCAGTCCTGTACCAATCCCACCCCTCCAGTGCTGGAGGAAGGCTGTGCCAGCGAGCAGCTCAAAAATTCATGCTTAACGCAGCCACGCTGTGGCTGATGCCATCCGCCAGCATCATTGCCACTTTATCACGGATAAATCAGGCCCTGGATGGCAACTGCACGCAGGAGTTTGTTAGTATTCAGGTCTCTCCACGCTGATGGCTTCATAACTCCAGACTTGCCTCTTAATTGCACCCATAAGTGTTGAAATTACTGAAGGGTAAAATGCAGATGGGCTGTAACCTTTCTGCAGCTCAGCACTGCGCGGGACCCAGCACTGGCAGGGACGTGCGGGTGGATTTTTCCTCTTTCCTAAAGGCTGGTGGAGCTGGGAACCATCCAATGCCAATGAGAGGAAGAGCCCTGCCTGGAGCACGGGCAGCTCTGCCACGGGGCTCCCTGGAGCTAGACAGCATATGGTAGAACAGAGCAAAGCCATGGAATCACGCTGGGTGTGCAGGGCTGGGCAGAATGAGTGTGCAGGAGAGAGATGCTGGGAGTGCCATGGCCAAGCTGCACTGCGCTCCCAACACAGCCCCCATAGCACTGCTCACAGCCCCGGCACAGCTGGAGCTGCAGTGCTGTAGTGGCACCTTATTTATGGCTCTGCTTCCCCGAGTTAAACTCCACAAAGTGTGACAATCAAAATTAAGGATTTCTCCAGAATGTCAGCCTGGGGGAAATAGCTGGTGAGGCCGGTGGAGATTTCCCAGCGGTGACTTTTAAATTAAAGGGGAAAAAAAAATTCTTTAATTTGGCAGCGTGCTTGGGATGCAGCTCACTGGGCACGTTATTATCCAGCTCAGCAAACACTCCCGGAATGCACTCATTCCAACCACCCTCCATCCACGTCCGTGTCCCCACATCCCTCACACCCCACTGCTGCAGTGACTTCTGCCCCACATCGGGCACCGCTGACCCCGCAGGGACCATCATGCTGCTGCTGCGGCTCCAATGTGGCACAAGGGGCCGGGCCAGGAACGTGGTGCAGCCAGCCCCGGAACAACACGTCTGCCTCCCCCAATCCTTCCAGATGAGGCAATGAAATTATTTTTCTACTTGAGTAGTTTTCAATTTAGATTAAGAAAAATCTGTGCTCCGTTAGCGGCGTTGCAGTAAATCATGAGCGAGAGGCACGGCATGGCTGACAGCCCGATCGCTTATCGGCTGCAAAGCTTTCTCACATTGACAGGCCCAGGGGTGTGACATTGAGCCAGGGTGGGGGCAGCAGTGCCTGGGGCATGGGGGTCCCATGGTGCCCGCATAGTCTGGCAGGGCCACCCCTTTATATCGCTTTGCAGAGAAATGGGGCAGCTCAAAGGGTGCGAGGTGCAGCCCTGAGCCCTTACGTAGCATTCTGGAGGTCTCATCTCCAGACCTCAGGGATGTCTCCACCTGCACCATCATCCCACGTGCCTTCCTGCACAGAGCTGAGCAGCCCAGCCATGACTTCACCACTCACCCACTTGCAGCACCCAGTGCAGCAGTGGCTGTCCCCATTGGCAGCTGTGCTGCTGCAGAGCTGGGGGCAATCCCCAGCACAGGTCCCATCCTCATGCACGACTCCTTGCCGCTGGCATTCTGCAGGGAGCACCTGGCCCAGCACCATCAGAAGGAGCATTTGACAGCAAACAAACCATTTTTTTCCCTCTGGCTCTTTCAGCTCGTTTATCGCCTGCACAGGGCAAGCAGAGCTGTCATTGCCTGAACCTCACTCATCCGTTTAACCTTGGGGGAAGAAACACATTTGTGGCGGATAGCATGCATCAGATGGTGGCACGGGAAGCGCCTGTAGCTGCTGCGCCTGATGGATGGGCTACACGGGCCTCAGCTGACCTGTGCTTGTATGTTATCTGCATTGCTGCAGGAGGCTTTTCATCACGCCGACAGCTCCGCCATCACCTGCCTGGCAGAGCTCCTCTCTGGGCAGCAGCCACGCAGCTGCGGTGCCACCACAACACCAGGCAGGAGACAGTGAGCTGCAGTGTGGGAAGGCTGTTCCATGTGCCCAGCAAGAATGGCATCACCACCTGCACTTTCATCTCCTCTGTATGAGCCATGGGGAGCAGCCAGCCATGCCCATGTAATAGGGAGAAGCCAGCCCTGGGCTGCACAGGAGATGCAGTGTCTGTGCAGGGCTGCCTCTGATTCCAGGCACCCATCCATCCCTGGGCACAAACACCACCCATTCCTGGGCACAGGCACCCATCCCTCCCTGTGCTGGGAGGTCCCTGTGGCTGTGCCTTGCCAACACACGTGGTGTTGGGTACAGCCCAGCACACAGCTCAGCACCAGGGCCGCAGCACCTCAGAGCAGCAGCAGGCACAGCTCCCATCCCCGGAGGCACTGGAGCAAAGGCAGGGAATAAACGACTCTGTTTATGAAGCCCATAATGGAGCCAGCAAAATCAGTCACTAGGCACAGCGGCGGCGCTGCGTTAATGGGACGTTATTTATGGCACTTCCCTGACGGTGCGGGAGCTCAGTGCATCCCGCTGCCAGGCATGGCCCCCTTTGCCCTACACTGCATGGCACAGGAGGGGGCAGGAGTTGGGGCAGACAGTGGAGCTGTGGTTCAGAAACTGGGGATGATACAGGGATGGCACACAGCGAGCAAGCTGCACCCACAATGCTGAAGCTGTAAGGCCATGGCAATGCAGAGCTGGGGGCTGTGGGGGCCAACACCACCAGCAGTGCCAGCAGGGGGAGAAGCCAGGCTGTCACACGTGTCCTTTGGGTGACATTTTGCCGATGAGGGGTCCTGTGACAGTGATGGAGAGGGTATTGAGCCGGGCAGTGCCGTGCCCAGTGACGGATGAGCACTGCCAAGAGCCGACACAGAAGCCATTTGGTGTGGGGAGATGATAGATGCTAACACTAATTTTAAACACAGGCAGCCGAATTCCTCCAGACAGGCGCAGCACTCAGGATTTAGGGCACAGCTGCTGGGTTCAGATAAGGTGTGAAATCAGCCCGGCGTGTGGGGTGTTACCCAATAACGAGCACCTCGTGATGGATGGGGGCATCTTCCTACTGCAACCTCACATCATCATGTCTCCTGGCATCAATTCTTCCTGCTGGGTGATGTGATCCCTCCCCAGCCCCAGCTCCTTCATGCAGGTACCCACAGCCTGGGCACTGTGCAGGACCCATGGCTCTGCCCCATGGGGTGACACAGTGCCTGCTGCCACCACCTGCACTTCTGTGTCCCCTCCCTGTGATGCAGCCTGGAGACAGCCCCATGCCAGGGCGCTCTGAGCCACGTGGGCAGCGCCAGGACACAGCTCAACCCCAAACAGTTATGGAAAAGTGATGCTTGAAATGGCAATCGCTGTGCTTGTCTGTAGCATTTAATCTTTCTTCTGACCTTATAAAAAAATCTATTTGTGTTGCGATTTTAAACTCAGTTCTTAAATCACCCACTACAGGCTTCACACTGTATTAATTTCTCCTCAAGCAAATGAGTTTGGTATTTGCTCTTTTCCAGTAGCATCAGCACCAGAGAGCACAGCAGAAGCACGGCGTTTCTGCCCCTCTGCTCAAAGCTGAGTGTGACACACACACCTCCTTCTAAGAGCTGGAAGAGGAAAAGCAGCACAAGGAGAGCCATCCCCTCCATCCCATCCCATTTCACTCCCCTTAATTCCATCCCATCCCAATCCATCCCATCCAACTTGATTTCATCCCATCCCATCCCATCCCATCCCATCCCATCCCATCCCATTCCATTCCATCCTATCCCACTCCATCCCATCCCACACCCTCTTCTCTGCTGCCAGGAGAAGTGGGAGCTGCACTGGAGGCAGCGGGGCAGTGCAGGGATGCACAGCTGCAGTTGGAGATGACGAGCTGCCGGCACACTGCCATTGATTCAGAGGTGATTGCTGCAGAGGTGATGCGTGGTCAGCTTGCCTCATTATTGTGCAAATTGCTGGAAATGCAAATCTCTGGGTGCACCTGGGGAAAAATGTATTAATAATATTACTCCTGATTAAGGTCACAGGGCACTGTCTGCTTATTCAGTGGTGTCTGGGCTCCCTTTCCTCTTCTGAATCTAATACTGGGTTTATTTCTGTATCAATGACACTGAAGTCCTCAGGAGATATTTTATCATTGAAGACTCTCTCACAACCACGTGCCAAAGCTCTGGCTGCAGCATGGGGCTCCTGGCTCCAGCGCCAGGATCACAGACCTTTCTGGTGACAGCCAGGATCACCAAGTGACACTGCACCAGGGATGGCAGGTGGCACCTCCACCACCATGGGGCCCTGGGTAGCTCTGCCAGGCGCTCATCCAGCAAGGAGAGTCACCAGCCGGGCTGTCAGCCTTCCACCTGGGCACAGCATGGCACAGCTTGGCATGGCTCAGTGTGGCACAGCACAGCATAGCATGGCACTGCTTGGCACAGCACAGCCCCAGGTGGCTGTGGGTCTGACCCCCATGCAGACAGTCAGTGGGAGCCCTGAGCTTGTGATCAGCTGAATGGGCATGAGCAGAATGCCAAAGCACTGCTGATTTATTGCCGAGGAAACGCTTAATTTAGGCAATGTACTTAAAGGAACTAATTAGAATTGCATTAATATTTATGGACCTTATGGAGAAGCTGATAGTCACTATTTGAGGGTATTAACTGTTATCTTACACCAGGCAGGACTGTGGTGTTTCGAGGCAACTCTAATTGTGGCGAGGGCAATCAAGATCTCACCAAACAACAGCCAGCCTGGAGCTGCACATCCACACCACATTTGCAGTGCTAATGAACATCAGTTGCAATTAATAACTCTGCTCAGAGCCACTGAGCATCACCCCGCTGCTCAGGTCAGACGTGAAGCTCCCATCCACCTGTGCAGGAGATGCAGTTACTGGGACTGCAGAGGGGCTGGTGGCTGTGAGTACCTGTGGGGCTGGGGCTGCTGCTGGGGCAGGGGCACACCAGGCTGTGCGAGTGGGCTGGGGCAGAGCCCCTCTACACAGTGCCCAACACAAGCACAGCCATCGCCTTGCCCGCATGGCCAACCTCATGCTATAGCAAAGTTCACATCAATTCTCCTTCCCCTCATTTGTCTGTAAACCATGAAGAAAAATCACCTCCGTCTGCCCACATCGGGCCGCTGCCGTGATGTATGGCTGTAATAAAAACCCCATTTTGGGAGGCCGCCTTCCTATGCCGCCAGCCGGGCTGTGCCACGGCCAGACCTGCCCCATCCCCCCGGCTCCGTGCCACCCGGCTGGGCCGTTACGGATGGGGCTATCAGAGCCCCGCTGCGGAGGTGGCCACAGTGCTGCTGTCATTAGCCCAGCATCCACGAGCGTTGCCCAGCTCTCCCACTGCCGCCCTGTGGCCCCGGCCCCATCCCTGCCCCAGCGTCCCCGCAGGTGTGTTGGGAAGGCAAGACAGAGGCAGTGGTGCTGCTCCAAGCCAGGCATCCTGGCGGCTTTATTGTGTGGGGCAGAACGATCGGCTCTGCAGATCTGGGCGGGCTGTGGTCCTGAGGTCAGCGCTTATCCAGCCCTGGGGAGAAAGGCAGAGCAGTGAGCAGGGCTGCAACCGGGTGGGCTCTGCCGGGTGCTGCTGCCCACCACAGGGCTGCGGCGGCACTGCCAGTCCCCCCAGTCTGCTCTCCTAAATGTGCACAGAGAAAGGGGAAGCCGCCTGCAAAGAGAGCCTTTTCTTCCTGTGCAGACTGAGAGCGTAGGATTGGCAGGATTAATATTTTGATAATCAGGCACAATTATTATTGCTAAGAGCATCGCCTGCTTCATGCCGAAGACAAGCCCAGCTCCCAGGATGGAGCTGTGTGCTGATTGGAATCACCGAGCAAGAACACTTCCAGTCCCCACGTGGCACCCACATGCACAGCGGCCAAGCAACCATGGCTGCTGCTGCCTGGCCACTGCAGCACAGCTCTGTGTGGGAAGGCTCCGGGCAGACCCGCCAGCAGCAGCCCCAGCAGCACTGGGTGCTTTCCCTTGGCACACATTGTGCTGCCCTGTGCATCCTTCACCCCACTCTGTGCTCCCACCCGTGCCCGGCTCTCACCGTACTCGCAGACCTGCTGGCACTTCTCCAAGCTGTTGGCATTCCCCCTGCAGCCGCTGAACACAAGCAGCCGGCACGACCTCGAGGCAGGGATGTAGGCGTAGCAATAGATGTGCCTCTTGCACAGGCCGTGCTCCGGGGCCAGGTAGCACAGCTCCCTGGGGTCAGAGAACCAGCGGCAGCCCAACCCCAGCAGGAACAGAGAGACACCGAAGTTGGAGCTCCTGCGCAGGGGTGAGCAATACGGCAGGTGACTGGGGCCGTTGGTGTCACTGCTGCAGGTGCTGTTGCAGCAGCCGATGATGTGCGGAACCTTCTTCTTGGGGTGGGTGTCCAGTCTGGCTGCGGATGGGGAAGGAGAAGGGCTCGTGCCCATGGGGTATGTCCCAGCCATGGTACCAAGCCCAGATCCTGACTGCCCTTACCTGGTACCAGCTGCAGGCAGCGGAACAGGCACCCGATGCGGCAGCACTTCCCGCTGCCCCTGCAGTTGCTCTCAACTGTGCATTTGTTCATACAGTTGGTTGTTGGGTCGGTGTCAATCCATGGGCGGAAATCTTCCTTCGCTGGGGGTGACAGGGGGTCAGGGCCCCAACAGCCCCTTCCTGTGCCCATCCCTGTCCTATCTATCAGGTGGAGAGCAGGGGGCACAACAAGACCCTGCACCAGAGGGACTGAAGGGTAGGAGAGATGGGGTGCAGGGGCCCTGCAACAGCTCTTGCGCATGATGCACTCAGGCAGCAGGCAGTGATCAGACCTGTCCAGACCAGAGCATCCCATCCTTGTGCCAGGATGGGACACAGGATCCAGATCACCCTCCAGACAGCAGAGCACAGGCTTTGTGGGGCCTGTGGGGCTGCTGGGAGGATGGGACCCCTCACCTTGCTGGCACTCTTGTCCGCATCCCGTGCTCCCTGCACACTTTGAGGAGCAGACGTTGTTACAGAGGTTCGTGGTGCTCATGTTGGTCTCACAGTACTTACCAGGCTTCCCTGGGAGGGAGAACAGTGGAGGAGTGATAGAGCTCCCAGCATGGTCCCTGCAGCTCAGCATGGGCAGCAGATCCCAGAGCTGCTCAGCCTTGCTGCAGGTCCCATGCCACCCTCACACCCACTGCACCATCCCCGGTGCCCCTTCCTCCAGCACAGCCCAGCAGTGCAGGCACGTGGAGCATCGCAATGCCCACAGGAGCACCACTGCTGTTGGGATGCATTCAACCTGAGACAGAAGGAACGCTTTCCTGCCACCGCCCCCAGCTCTGCGCGCATCAAATCTGCATCCTGTCCCTGGGGGCTGTGCTGGCTTTTCTTCCTATTCCCCTCACAGAGTGATGTCCGGCCTCGAATCCCATGGCTCTGTGTCCATGCCCTAACCGGGACACACCGGCACTCACCGAGTCGCACGGAGGGGCCGTCTACCTGTGCCGCCGCCGCCTCCTCCGATACGTTCCTCGAAGTCGCCCAGCCCCGGCCCCATGGGGCCGTTAGCAGCAGCAGCAGCAGCAGCAAACCCGGCTCCATGGCACTGCCCTCGCAACGCCCACACCCTGGCGACCTTATGTACGGTCCGGTGCCCTGCCCCGGGCCTTGCGCAACGTCGGGGCTCCTCCCGGCTCGGTTCAGCACGGTTCGACACGGCTAGGCTAACCACTATATAGCTCGACTCGGCATAGCTTGGCTTGACTTGGCACGGCTCTGCACAGCACAGCACGGCTCGGCTCGGCACGGCTCAGCTCGGCTCGGCACGGCTCAGCTCGGCTCGGCACGGCTCGGCTCGGCTTGGCACGGCACGGCTCGGCTTGGCACGGCTCTGCACAGCACGGCTCGGCTCGGCACGGCACGGCACGGCTCGGCTTGGCACGGCACGGCTCGGCACGGCTCTGTTCAGCACCAGGCAGCGCCCAGCCGTTCTCTCAGCCCCGTGCTTCGGCGGAGCAACAGCCTCCCCTGCCGGCCAACGCGCACCGTTGGCGGCACGGCGCTGCACGGCACGGCACGACCGGGACGGAGCACGGAGATGAGGGGGCTGCGCGCACCCAGCAGGAGGTCCCCACGGCCGAGGGGACCCGGCGAGAGCTGTGCGTGCTTCATCCCTAGAGGTGCCCAAGGCATGGATGCGGCCCGGAGCAGCCTGATCTGGGGCGGGAGGTGGGACAGACAGCCCACGGCACGGGGTGCGGGGTCCCGGGGGGGCTCTGGGGTTCCTTCCAACCCAGCCATGCTTGATGCAGTGACTATGAATCCCCACGCTGCCGCCACGGCGCTGCTCGTCTTCACGTCGGGGCGTCACTCTGAGCGGCCCTGCGGGGATGGGACGGTTCTGCGGTTTTTTGTTTCTCTTGCTGAAGGTTCCCTTTGTTTCAGGTGCAGTCTCTCTAGCAACAAGCACGTTCGGCTATTGGGAGCATGGATGACGCAAACAGGAATTTCCGAGCAGGGAAATACGATCGTCGAGGTGTACAATCCCCCTTCTGAGACAGCAGCGATCCCGTCGGCTCAGCACGGTGATGCCCAATTGCAGGTGGGCTGAGAGGAGCACAGGAGCAGTCCCTGCCTGCCTGCCTGTTGCTCAGCCATGGCCTCTCCCCATTCCCTGCTCCACTCCTCCCCACCATCACCAGCACCATGCAGCTCTCACCCTGCAGCCCCCTACCCCACACCTAGCCCTGCACCACATCCACCACCCACAGCCACAGACACTGCTTGAGGCATCTCATTTCCACCACATGGTTCTGCCGAGCCCAGTGAGTCCAGTGTCCACAAGGCAGGCCCTAAAGCAAGAGGCAGCTGGAGCAGATGGCTCATGGCACCACGTGCACAGCTCCATGGGGACACGAAGGCACTGCTAAGTGTCCGGGTCACCTTGGCTGCGTCACCCACCTTAGGGCCACGTGGCACAGAGCAGCACATCGTGGCACCGCTCACCCTTCACTCTCTATGAGTTCCCCACCCCGTCTGGGGGTTGCAGCACCTGCAGGGATTGGGTGCAGCGGGGCATGGGGAGGGCAGGAGGCAGCCCCACACTGACCCTGCCGACGTGACGCACCCAGCCTGCCTGGCCCTGCAGAGGAATGGCGTGCGGTGCAAGGCGGGTGGGGGCACGGCACAGCGCCTTCCCACGCTCTGCACCCCCCGAGGCCATGCTCACCCTTGGGGACCAGGGCTGTGACAAGGGGACAGGGCAGGCAGAGGCAACACTGAGGGGTGGGTACAGCTCAGTAGGCAGATGTCCTCCTGCATCCCACCCTTGCTCCCTGACCCACAGCTTGTCCCATCTCTCTCCAGGCTTGGGTGACATGCGTGGTGATGAGTCCCATGGCTATGGAGAGAAGATTGCCATCCCTTTGTTGGCCACCCTGCTGTCCTCAAGCCAAGGAACTCCAGCCCCTTCCTTCATGCTCCCTGCCCTGTTGCCCACATTGCCACCAACTGGGCACAGTGCTCACGTCCCCACCCAGCCTGGCTGTTGGGAGTGGGAGAGGGCCATGGTAAATGATTTCTCAGTTAATGACATCACACAGGGCTGCTGCTGCCTCGGGCACAGCCTTGAAATGCAGCAGGAGTTTCAGCACCCAAAGGTTATGTGTGTGGTGGCCCCTCCCCAGCCTCATATGGATATAAACCCCCGCTGACCTGCGCCAACTGTCGGAATCCTTGGGAGCATGATGAAGGCTGCCGGTGTTCTGCTTGTGGGTATCCTTGCACTGTGCACACAGCTGCAGCCAGCTGCCACGGCCGCTGTAATCATAGGTGAGTGCATGAGGTGGGCACAGGGTCACAGCAGCTCCAGGGCACTGCAGGGCTGGCATGGGCCATGGTCCCTCCGGTGGGACACATTGCAGCAGCACAGGGCCAGGCACTGCCTGACAGCTCCTCAGCCCTGAGCGGTGCCACTGAGGTCCGTGCCACGCAGGCAGCATGGGGGCAAGAAGAGCTTGGGGACAGCAGCAGAGCACTTCTGCCTACATGGGACATACCTGGAGGGGTGGGACAGCCCCCAAAGAGGTCAGAATTCTCAGAACATCAGCCCATGAATGAGGCTATCTGTCATGATTTGAGCTCAGGAAGCACCTGAGACTGAAGAAAGGGGTGTCCCTGTCTCCCAGTGTCCCTGCCTGCTGGGGTGCCCCACCTGGCACAGCCACACTGCCTGTTGGGCATTGGCTGTGCTCCTCGTGGAGGGGCTGTGACCTCAGCTCCTTCCTTGTCACCTGTGGGCCAGCTGTGGTCACCAGGTGCAGTGCACGCACTGTTCCTCTGCTGGGGGAAGGGCGCCCATCAGTTTGGGCTCCTGGGCCAGGGTCCTGCCCATGACGTGCTTGGCACAGAGCTGGCTGCTGCGGCTGCACAGAGCCATGGCTGTCCCTGTCCTCTGGCAGGGAAGCACCTGACAGAGCCAGGGCAGGACAGTAGCATCCTGAATGCTGTGTGTGGGCGACAGGAGCCAAAGCATTTTCTGGGAAGCGATGCTGAGCGCGTGGGCTGAGCCAGGCACAGCTGCAGGCCATGCAGCCAGCAGGTTCTGTGCCTCCCCAGCTGCTCCTGCTGGCTGCAGGCAGATCCAGGCAGAACAGGAGCTGAGCAGTGTCCCACGGGGGGTCACCGTGTCACCCCTGGGCAAAGCCCGGCACCTTGCCCTGCTCTGCACTGCTCCCTCCGTGAGTCCTCTCCTTGGAGGGCTTTCTGGGCTCCCACCCTCTGCAGTTTCCCTGCTGCTGGCTGCTGTGGTGCAGCTTGGCTGCAGGAATCCGCACGTCCGCAGCCCCCTGGCCCCATCCCACTCACACCAGTGCTCAGGAAATGCTGCACTCTACAGATTTTACAAGCCAAAGGGACTGATAAGGGCAATTAGAGGATCAGCCATCTGAGCAGAGTGATGAACCTCAAAGGCAAGTGCTCCTGGCAGCATCAGCGCAGGTGCAGCAGCACAGATTGCGGCAGGACACGGAGCTGTGAGGTGGGCAGCACTGCCCACTGCCAGATGCCAGCCCTGCTGCAGCCTTAGGTCAGGGTGGATTTTGTCCCCGTGCAGCACACAGTAGGGGCACGTTGTCACTCAGCCCAGCACTGTGCACCCAGCGCAGCCTGATGCTCAGCCCAGCCTGCTGCTGGAGCAGTGTGTCCTGGTGCAACAAGGCTGCCTTTATGCAGGAGCTCCTTTGTTTGCCCGGGGCCGGGAGCCCCAGCTCGGAGCAGTTCCCCAGCACGGAGCACACAGCAGGCACTGCAGGGTGCGGGGTGATGCCTGCTGCCATCCCAATGCTATCCCAGGGCTGCCCCGTTCCCACCATGCTGCACAGCACTGAAATGCAGTGAGTGTCCCGCGGGTGTCAGCGCCGGGTCCTGTTACTGCATAAACACACGCGCTGGGGAGGGGACCGCGGCAAATGCAAACAGTTACTGATTTACTGTTGCTCCGTGCCTCACTGCGTTGTTGACTGTGGGCTTAAATTACCTGGAAATAGATGCTGGCCGAGCAGACAAACAGCTCGTGACCTCGGAGCGGGGATCGCCTGCCCTGAGCCCATGCAGCCCCAAGCCCACACGGCTCCAGGATGCTGCAGCCCAAAGTTTGAGAGCTGTGGGTGCAGTGATGGGGGCTCAGCGATGAAGGAGGGCCCCATTTCCACCCTCACACTGCAGAGGAGAGGCTCAGCCTGGGCATACATCCAGGATAGGGCTGGGGCCAGGGATGCTCTGGGTTCTGCCCAGCAGAGAAGATCCAGCCCCAGCCTTGCAGCTGGGCAGCTCCATCACCATGCAGAGCACTGGGTCCCACGCAGTGACCAAATGCACTGAGCCAAACCTGGAGCAGTAAGTGAAGGGCTGAGGCCCCTCAGATCCCCCAGCACAATGCTGAGCCATCTGCTTCCGTCAGCAAACCCAAAGGAATGAAAACCACTGCTGGTAGCACCTGCAGATGAGCAAGAACTGGTGGAGCGGCAAACAGTGATGAGAGCCAGCAGCCACGTGGGGTGATTAGGATTGCTTGGTCTGCTCAAATACAGCCCGGCTTGGTGCTGCCCAGCACTGCCAGGCACCCAATGCACAGGCTGAAGGACTGCATGGTACCATGGAGCAGCGGGCACACAGCCAGAGCACACAGCAGCTCACTGCCTGCCTGCCATCCACCCGAGCACCACTGCATCCCCAGGCAGCACATCAGGGCAGGGGCTGCGCTTGCATGTGCAACAGCTGCCAGGGATGGAACAGGTCTGAGCACAGTTGTCACGTGTCCCATATCTACTGCTGGCCCCAACCCAGAGCTGACCATTAGAGGGCCCGCCGTGGCGCTGTGCCCCACAGGCTGTGGGCTGGGGGCTCCCAGCTGCTGAGCATGGCGATGCAGCGCGGTGCTTGGCTGCTGTTCCTGCCGGGCAAGTTTTCTGTGTAGACGCCTGGGCTCCTCGAGGCTCCCACTTCCTGGTCAGCTGCCAGCAGCGAGCAGATACCTGATACTTGAGGATTGTGCAATGGCACGAAGGGGGAGCCTGGCCCAGCCAGTTCCTTATGAGCCACCCGGAAGGCAGTCCCCTCCCGCCCCACCTGGAGAGGAGCTTAAAGCCCAGCCGGGTGGCCCCGCACACGCACAGCTCCCCTGCACCATGCCCAAGGCCAGCAGCGCGCTCCTCCTCGCGGGGCTCCTGGTTCTCTGGGCAGAGCTGCTGCCAGCATCCGTCCTGAATGTCACGAGTGAGTATGAGCGCACGGCCCCGCGGCAGCAGCCGGCATCACTCCTGGCCTGGGGCCTGCTGGGGATGGGCTCCAGGCACACGTTCTGCAGCGTGGCTGCGCTCTGCAGCATCCCCGAGCCCACACCGGGACTGGGAACAGCATCGCCTGCCTCCAGACAGCCCTCCCACCCACACCATGTGCCTTTGCCTTTCAGTAAAAGCCGGCGTGTGCCCGGAGCCAGCAGCAGAAGAAGCGAACTGCACGATGGGGTGCCAGTCCGATGGCGACTGCGAGAGCACCCTCAAGTGCTGCCCGGCGGCCTGTGGCAAGGCCTGCCAGGAGCCCAACGGTAACGCTCCCAGGGTCGGTGCAAGTCCTGCTCCCATGAGCCAATGCCTCCGGGGCTCCTGGCGCTCGGTAGCGGTGTGGTCCTGGGCATCCTCTGTGCTCTGCCTGCAGCACAGTCACGGGGCTCTGCATGGAGCCCCACAGGATTGGGCTGTGCTTCAATGGAGCAGTTGCCCACACAGCCTTGGGTGGTGCTGGCCACACTCACCCCTTCCTCCTGCCTGCAGCTCGGTTGGCTTTGAGCATCCCTGGTGCTGCTGAGATCGCTGCTGGGGGCAGAGAGCACGCACCCGCTGCACTTCACATTCTTCAGGGAGCACCAGCTGCACAATGCATCAGCCCCAGCACTGTTCTGCATCCAGCAATGAGCTTGGGAAGGGTTTCCGAGCAGTGCCCTCCCCAGCTCTGCACCAGGCACGGCCCCACAGCCGCACTGCTGCAGGGTGCTCACCATGCTCAGCACCAGGAGCTGTAGCACAGCCCTGCACACCTTGCTGGGGACAGTGGGTCTCACGCCGTGTCCTTCGCCTTGCAGAGAAACCTGGCACCTGCCCGTCCGTGAAGCCAGGGATCCCGATGCTGGGACTCTGCATTAACCAGTGCAAGATGGACTCCAACTGCTCTGGGAGCCTGAAGTGCTGCAGGAATGGCTGCGGGAAGGTCTCCTGTGTGACTCCACTGCACTGAGGTCAGTCAGCACCCACCCAGCCCTGGGCGCCTGTCCCACTTGCCCCATCCTGCTCACAGCCCTCTGCTCCCTTTGCAGGTGCAGCCTCCTTCATCCCAGCTGCAGGGAAGCTGCTGCCCAATGTGACGCCGCATGGCCAGGCCCCTGGTGCCCTCCTGCCCCAGCCCTGGCTGGGATCCCAGCATGGAGCCTTCAGCCTCAGCTCCCATCCGAGGGCCCCGCTCAGGGTGTGCCGCAGCCCCCTGCACTCTCGCCAATAAAGCAGCCACTCCCTGCCCTGTTTTTGGCCGCGTCTCCATCCTGATGCGCTTCCAGCTGCATTCTGCAGTGCACTCAGTGTGCCCAAATGGGTGCTGGAGCAGGCAGTGTCTAGAAGGGTCTGCACCAGACAAATGCCCACCCCAAACCAGCACCGTTCCTGCAGTGCTGATCCCAGGCCCCATTTCCCCAAGGCTCCCCAGCCCATGCTCCTGCTCAGTGCTGTCCCAAAGTCTCAGCTGCTCTGACATTTGCTCCTCAGCCAGTTAAGGGATGTGCTCCAGCTGGGGCATGATATGCAGTTGCAGCTGCGTCCATGGACTGAGTTCTATGATGGCCTAGGGAGACAGCGATGCTGCTGCTGCTGCGTGCAATGGCACAGCATCTCTCAAAGCACCCCCTGCACTACACACTCCCAGCCCACCAGCAGCACAGCACCCATGGCAGCAGCTTGAGGGAGCCGTGGGCAGCAAAGCCTGCATGTCCCTGCCCCATCCCTGCCCACCCTGCTCGGACTCAGCCCTTGCTCTTGCTGCTCTTCCACTCTTCCCAGGAGCCCCACAGCTCCCAGAGGCAACGTGAGCTGAGGAACCCCAAGGGCCAGAGCAAACGGTCCCATGGACCTCCGAAGGCGCTGCTGAGGAATTGCATAGAGCACAGCTGAGCCAGGCACACACAACCACCCTGCAGCCTGCCCCACACAGCCTGGTGCCTGCAGCATGGATGTGTCCCCACTCACATCCCACCAAGGCTCTGCAACATTGCTCCCCACTCCATGCGTGCTGGGAGGTGATGCTGATGATCCCCGGGCAGAATGGGGTGGGCTCTGGGAAGCAGTGATGGGATGCACAGGCTCACCGGGCTCTCCCAGGAGCCCACATTGGGGAGCGCAGGGAACAGGGTTGGGGAGCACCTCCCACATCCCCTGGCCTGGCTGTTTGCGGGTCACTGGTGACCTGGAAAGGGAGCGCTGCAGGGGATGCGCCAGCCATGGGCTGGGAGCCCAGTACTCCTCTGGGAGTCTCCCTCGAAATGAATTGTTCATGCTCAGTGCTCCCACAGCCCTGGAAACACGCACTGCCATGGGCTGATGCCCCCCAGGAGATTTAAATACCGACTGGCAGTCACAATGCCACAGCAGCCCCAACAGCACGATGCCCAGCACCTGTGCCCTCGTGCTGCTGCTCCTGGCCCTGTGCGCCGAGCTGCCGCCTGCCCCAGCCCAGCAGCGCCGTGGGGATCGCAGCAATGGCCCCGCTGCCAGCCCCCCGCCACGCCGGGCACAGAGGGGCCAGCGGCCGCCAGCTGCCCTCCCTGCCTCCAGCAAAGCAGGCGTGTGCCCGGCAGTGGGGAGCAGCCCCACGCGCCCCATCAGGAGGTACTGCTTGTCTGACCACAGCTGCCCCGGCGCTGAGAAGTGCTGCCTTCTCCGGGATGTGCGCGCCTGCCTGCTCCCTACTGCAGGTATGGGGAGCTGTGGAGCTGCTGGTGCTGGACAGGGGATGGGTGCCACGGGGCGAGCCGTGCTCCCCAGGACACAGCACTTCTTCCCTCACAGAGAGCCTGGGCAGCCCTGTGGGGGTGAGCTGTGGGGCGAGCTGCTGCAATGAGACTGCGTGTGGCCATGGGGAGAGGTGCTGCGCCCGCTGCCTGCGAGTTGAGCCAGGTAAGGTTGCCTGCATCAGGGGGCTGTGCTTGTGCTGGGCTGGAAGTGCAGTGGGGCAGAGCCAGGGGTTGGCAGTTTCGTCACTGTGAGAGCAGTGCATCAGTACTGCAGAGGCAGGCTGGCTCTGAGCTGTACACTGAGCCCCCTGTTCCCTCCAGCCAAATCTGGCCTTTGCCCATGGAAGCAAGCCCGGCGTGATGCTGTCTGCCCCAACCTTTGCACAGATGACAGGAACTGCCCCGGGGACCAGAAGTGCTGTTTCTCTGGCTGTGGGCTGACCTGCACCACTCCGTACACAGGTACCAGCTGCCCCTATCCCCACTCCTCCCCAGGTGTGCATCCTCCTGCATGGGTGTGCACACTCCGTGCACACCTGTGCACTCCCCATGCATGCCACAGGGGCAGGATGGGGGCAGGATGGAGGCCAGAGGGGAGTTGGGGCACGGGCACACTGCAACCCTAAGCCATGTGCAAGGCACAGGTTCCCGATGTAGCCAAGCTCCCATGGGCACAGCGGGGCTGTGATGCTCAGGGCTGTGATGCTCACAGCCACTCTCTTGCAGCAAAGTCCGGCGCGTGTCCCGTCCTGCTGCGGGGCTCCCTGGGCCCCTGCCTGGATCGGTGTGACAGCGATGCTGACTGTCCCGGGGCCAAGAAGTGCTGCACCACTGGCTGTGGCCATGTCTGCAAACTGCCCACCGAGGGTAAAATCTTTGTACCGTGGGGCAGAAATCGTGCCATGTTCCCATGTGGTCCCCTTCCCGGCTGAGCAGCCTCCCTGCAGGGCCAGTGCAGGCTTGGGCAGGGGGCAGCAGCCAAGGCCAGGGGCTCAGCACACCATTCCCTCTTTCTGCACGTGCACAGTGCGCCCGGGGCTCTGTCCTGCCACAACCACCAGGGCTGGTGAGTGCCTCATCCTATGCCTGGAGGACAAGGACTGTCCACCCAGCCAGAAGTGCTGCCTGCAGGACTGCGGCCGCACATGCGTTCCCCCACTGCAGGGTAAGACCAACCCCACACCCTGCCTGCAAAGGATGGCACAGGATGGGGCACTCGTCCTGCTCTGACCACCACATCCATCTCTTCCAGACACAGCCTAGCCCTGGCTATGGGGGTGGCACTGGGAGCTGCCATTTTAGGGCCATTCCACCCCACCTCCATCACAGCACCCACTGCCCCGCTGCTCCCATCCCTCTGGCAGCACCTCTGGCTGGGGGGACAAGCAACATTTGACCCACTCTGGCTGAAGTCTCTGCCACCCCCACCTCCCACAGCTGTGCTTCAGGGACAAAGGCAAACCCCCACATCCAGCTCCTCTGCGCAAGCCAGACTATGCATGGCATGGACACCCCCAGTCTTCCTGGAAATACGGACCCAGAATAAACCAGCATGTGGCAGCCAGGCTGCCGTGAGTGCTTTCTGTTGCCTGGGGTGTGCAGGGGGTTTTCCATGGTGCAGGCACTGTGGGTGGACACGTGGCTGCAGGCAGCCCCGGGGCAGGGAGAGGAGGCCCTGTTTCCATGCTGTGCCCCCCAGGCACATGTCAGGGTCCTGGGGAAAACTGCTGCTGTCCCAGCAGGAGTGCCAGAAACCTGTTGACTCAGATTCCTCGCACCAAGAAAGGGTTTATTTGCATCTCAAAGTGTGAAACTCAGGTTGGAAGCACAGTCAGGGGCAGATGGAGCGCTCAGCCTGGGGACAGGGAGAGGAGCAGCACCTGCGTGCTGGGAGCCATGCAGCTCCACTCATTCCTATCCTGATTGCACCCGTCAGTGTGCTCTGTCCCCAGGGCTGTCCAGCCTCTGCTGTACATTGCGGGGATGGTACCTGTGTGACCTCAGCTGCCCTGTCCCTGCCCCATCCCCATGGGTCATCCTCACCCAAAAGCGCAGCGTGGCCGGAGATAAGCAGCCGGCTGGCAGGGCGCCTGTGGTTCTGGGAACGATCCCTCCCCCTGGTCTCTGCCCGCTCCCCTCCAGCTGTGCTGCAGCACCCCTGGCAGCTCCGTCAGAGACTTTAAACCCAGTAGTGCCTCAGCTGTGGGCATGCAGCATCCCCACAGCACCATGTGCCTGGGACTTTGCCTCCTCCTGGGGCTGCTCCTTGGGACAGAGCAGAGCACTGCACTGGGGGAGAAAGATGGTGAGTACCGGCAGGGGGGTCTGAGCCAGCTCTGTCCACATGCACCCCGTGTGCATCTCCTGTCCCGGATCCCTCAGTGCTGGCACTTCTGAGCTGGGACAGAAGTCCAGCAGCAGGGATGCTGGGTAGGGCCAGGGGCTGTGCGGGGGCTTTGCAGGGCAGCAGTTTGGGTTCTGTGCACACAGTGCTGCTATGGGGTCTCAGGGCTGACAGCTGTTCTCAGCCACTCCCTTGCAGCCATGGATCAGTTTTCTCCTCAGAACATACCTCCCTTCCTCAGCCCTGCATGTAGCACCTGACTCATGCAGATCCATCCAGGTGGGTGCTGTGCTGCCCAGAGAGGTGCTGGATTTTCCTTCTCTGGAGTTATCCAAGATATCCAAGACCCGTCTGGACATCTATCAGTGTGACCTGCTGTAGGGAACTTGTTCTAACAGCGGGTTGGGCTCGATGACCTCTAGTGTTCCCTTCCAAACCCTACAATTCTATGATTCTGTGATCCTCTGCTCCAACCCCCCTGACCCAATGGGGCTGTGGGTAACAGTGGGCACACACCATGGAGTGCCCCGGTCCCACCCTGCGTGGGACAAAGCTGCACCAGAGCAGCCCAGCTCTGCACTACTGCCGCCTCCGCAGCGGTGGGAACTTTCCTTTGTTTGAGTGGAACAGCTGCTGTTTGCAGTGAAACCCTCCCAGCAGTGTCTCTGTTTGCAACTCAAACAGCACAGCGCTGCCAAGAGCTGACAAGGGGTGTTTGCAGAAGGGGTGCTCCCACAGCATCCCCCGGCTCAGCATAGGAACAGCAGCCTCAGCTGTGGGGCCAGGTGGATTCCCAGCCGCGGGGAGAGCGCAGTGCCCTGAGCTCCCCACTCAGATGTTCCCACTCCCCAGCCCACGCCGGCATCTGCCCCCCACCCTCATCTCAGCCCCAGCGCATGCCGTGCCCCAAAGCCTGTGATGATGACGGAGGGTGCCTGCAGGACCAGAAGTGCTGCTTCACTGCCTGCGGCTTCATCTGTGTGACACCGCTGGGGAACGGCAGCAGTGACCTCCCTCCTCCTGGAGAGACGGATTGGAGCCTCAGCCAGGCTGAGAACACGCACCAGGGTGATGCAAAGAGGATGAGCTTCATGCCAGGGGCTGTGCCGGGAGGGGAGAGGCCGTAGGGAAGGGGTGCATGTAGCATTGTGGTGCACGTGGCAGGGAGGGGTGCAGTGGGTTGCAGAGGCTGCAGCCATCCCCTCCATAGGCAGGGTGATGCTGGGTGCTGCCCTGACTCCACATCCTGCTACAGGGGAGCTGCAAAAACCGGGTCGGTGTCCCCGGGATTTCACACGCTGCCTCCACCAGGAGCCCCCTCTCTGCACCAATGACTCAGCGTGTCCTGGTTGGCTCAAGTGCTGTTCTCACGAGTGCCGCCTCCGCTGCACACCCCCGGCAGAAGGTATGGCACCACTGGCACAGCCCCAGCACCACCACCAGCACCCCTTGTCCACCAGCCCCATCCATGTCCTTGTCCTGTCCCCATTACCCAGAGTAGCTCCAGCACCACTTGTGGCCCCCATCTCCCAAGGCTGGGATGGGGCGGTTGAGGGCATCTGGGATGGGGCACGGGGGATCCGAGACACAGCAGGGGGAGATGTGGGATGTGACACAGGGAGGGCCACAGGGGCAGATTTGCCGGTTGGTGCCCTCGGGGTGCACCTCACCCCCTGCCATGCCACTCGGTGTTGCAGAGAAGCCCGGTGCCTGCCCCGCTGCGGCCCCCGAGGGGCTCTTTTACCCCTGCTCCTTTCGGTGTCAGGAGGACAAAGACTGTCTGGGCAGCCAGAAGTGCTGCCCGCTGGGCTGCGGCCAAGCCTGCGTGGAGCCAGCGCAGGGTAAGGCCTCCGGGTAGCACTGGAGCCACGCGCACGGGGACAGCCACGGCTCCGCGGGGCGCTCAGGGCTGTGCTGCAGACATCTGCCATCTCCCCGCCATGCCGGGGCCCTGCGGCGGCCACGAGCTGAGCTTCTTCTACAACGTCACCTCCGGGCGCTGCGAGACATTCCCCTACAGCGGCTGCGGGGGCAATGCCAACCGCTTCGGGACGCGGGCAGCGTGCCGCCGGGCGTGCCTGGGCCACGGTGAGAGCACGGAGCTCCGGGTGGTGGGGGGCAATGCGATGTCCCCCCGTGTCCGGCGGTGCTCACGGCTGCTTCTGATCGCTCTGCTCCACCAGAGAAACCCAAAACCGGGGAGTGTCCCGTGGTGCTGCCGGAGCTGGAGGGGCCGTGCCGGGAGGAGTGCGATGGTGACAGCGACTGCCCCAATGCGCTGAAGTGCTGCAACAGCAGCTGCGGCCTCCAGTGCCTGCCTGCAGTGCCAGCCCGTGAGATGGGGTGGGACGGGGTGGGACGCCGATCACAGGTGTGGCCATGGGCTGGGGACCAGGGGTGCTCACAGCACCCACCACAAGCAGAGAGGGGCCGGGTTGGGAGCAGTGCGTACAGCAGCAAGGCTGTGGTGGGGACACTGAAGACCGCTACAGTGGTCATCCCACTCTCATCTCCAACCCGATGACCCCACCATCCAAGCTCTGCTCTGCAGTTCAGATACTGCCAGCTCTGTCCCTGCCACCTGGAGCCACACCAACAGCAGAGCTGCCAACCTGGGCACAGGGTGCAGCCGGGAGCAAGGGGATGGGGGGGGGGGGGGCACCTTGCAGGACGGGGGGCCCCAACATGGAGGGATGCAGCGATGGATCAGGCAATGCACCCTGCCCATGTGTGCTGGACTGTGTCCCCATGGGACCACTGCACTGCAGAGCGGGACCCACTCCACCCCACACCGTGACCTGCAGGGAAGGATGGATTCTGCCCGGCCAGCGCAGGGCTGTTCCCCAGCTACGACTGCAGAGAGTGGTGCCGGCGTGACGCCGACTGCCCCGGCGAGGAGAAGTGCTGCCTGCAGGGCTGTGACTACGTGTGCCTGCGTCCAGCCCAAGGTTGGAGCCACTGAGCACCCCCCCCCAGAGCATCTCTGGTCATGCCCAGCCACCCCCAGCTGCACATTTCTTGCCTTCTAGAGAAACCAGGGATCTGCCCCCTGAGCGAGCAGGCTGCGGGGTCCCAGTGCCAGAACCCCTGTGCAGGAGACGGGCAGTGCCCAGGGAATGAGAAGTGCTGCAGCAGCAGCCGATGTGGCCATGTCTGCATGGTCCCAGAGCCAGGTGAGGGGGCAGGATGGGGCTGTGCCAGCAGTGCCTCACACAGTCGGGCAGTGCCCAGCCTCTTGCAGTTTGTGGGAGGCACAGCCACAGCCTGGTGCACAGAGGGCACATAGAATGCTACCAGAGTGCCCCCAAGGTGCCAAGACTGCCATGACCACAGCCCAGTCCCTGTGGGCAAGCCCATGGCCCTGCTACCCCTTTCCCTCCCTTTTCTTAGACAAACCTGGGCAGTGCCCAAAGGTGAGGCCACAGCTGACATCAGAGCCATGTATGGAGGAGGATTACTGCCTGCACGACCGGGACTGCCCCAGGCAGGAGAAGTGCTGCTTTTCCGGCTGCGCCATGCACTGCTCCCGCCCAGCCAGAGGTGAGGGCAGGCGGCTGGGCCCCAGCTGCACCACGGGCAAGGAGCAGCAGTACCAGTAGTGCTGGCAGTGTGGGGGACCCCCTGCACTCAGTCGCAGCCCCTCCTCCCACAGAGCACCCTGGGCAGTGCCCCCGGGCAGAGCCGTGCTGGGACCCCCGGCGCCGACGCAGGAACCAGTGCCTAGATGACAGCGTGTGCAGGAGGGATGAGAAGTGCTGCAATACAGGCTGCACTTGGGGCTGCGTGGCTGTACCCAGAGGTAGTGGGGAGCAGCTGGGCAGAGGGGTGCAGCCACCATCCCTGGGGACAGCTGGTGACCGCAGGTGGCTGTGCCTGCAGAGAGCAGCGGTGGTGCCTCCAGACAGTGCACAGAGGAGTGTGAGACTGATGCACAGTGCCCCCAGGGACAGCGGTGCACCCACATGGGCTGTAGCCATGTCTGCGTGGACATCCCTGGGGGTGAGCACTAAGTGTCCGGGAACCACAGGGTGCCCGGTGTGGCAGGGCCCACGGATGGGTGTCCCATGGATGGGTGCCCACAGCTGAGTGCCCACAGGTGGGAGTCCTTCAGCACATGCTCTGCCTTGCAGGGAGAGTGGGAGTGTGCCCCATCCCCAGGGATGCCATAACATGCGTGGACCTGTGCAGCTTAGACGAGGAGTGTCCCTGGGGCCACAAGTGCTGCAACAATGGCTGTAGCTATGTCTGCATGCCTGCTTCTCTCAAAGGTGAGCCCCTGGGCTGGGATGTCAGTGAGCAGCAGGGACAGAGATGGGGTCTGCTGTGCTCTGAGCTCACAGTGGCACCTTGGCCATCCTGCACCAATAGGGATTTCACAACAGAGCTGTGTCCTGGGGCCGCCAAAACTGTGCCTGCTATGGCCCTGTATCCACTCACCCCATTCTCCATAGTGCCTTCCCCTCTTTCTACCCAAGTAACGAGCATGCCCAGCCCCAGCTCAGCACCAGGTGAGTGTCCTCTCCTGCCACAGAGCACGATGTTGCCGTTGTGCCACAGCACGGTGCCAGCTGGTGCCCAGAGCAGTGTGATGCCGACTCGCAGTGCCCCCAGGGACAGAGATGCACCCGCACCAGCTGTGGCCATGTCTGTACAGACATGCCCAGAGGTGAGAACCACGGTCCAGCCCTGTCCTGGAGGTGACAGGGTACTCCATGGTAGGTGCCCATAGATGGGTGCCCCACAGAGCGTTCTGCCTTGGAGGGAGGGAAGGAGAGTGCCCCATCCCCAGGGGCAGAGGGACGTCTTGGACCTGTGCAGCTCTGACAAGGAGTGTCCCCAGGGCCAGAAGTTCTGCAGCAATGGCTGTGGTCATGTCTGCACACAGATACGTGATGGTGAGGAGACAGGGACAGGATCGGATCCAGGGGACACAAGGGTTCTTCAGCCCCTCAGGGGAGGCAGAGCCTTCTGGAAAGGGCCTCAGTCCATCTGGTCCCTGCTCAGCTCCTGGCACAGACCCTGCCTTCTGGGTGAGGGCACCCAAAGGGATGAGGAGCAGAAGTGATCTCTCACTAGATCTGGCCATGCCAAACCAGAAGCACTTGTCCACAACCTTGGCCACTGCTCCTCATCCCCATCAGTCAGACTTCTCTAAAAGCACATTTCCCTTTCAGGCACTGCGTGATGGGAGAACAGCAGCTCTGTGGCAGGAAGGTGCCTTCATCTGGGGACACACGGCACTGACAGCCCCAAGCTGGCCTGTCCCCTTCTTGCCATCACCAGCAATAAAGCCAGTGCATGCCACCTCCAGCTGCCTCTGAGTCTCTGTGTTGCAGGGCCCAGCTCCCATATTGCCCATGGAGGACACAGGTTGGGGTCCCCCCACCAGCACCAAGCAGGGGGGCTGCACAGCACATGTGGGGCTGCAGGGGTTCAGCAATGCAGGGTGAGCACAGCCCTGAGGCTGGGGGCAGCTCTGGGACCCCCATCGAAGTGGGGATGTTTCGCCATCGCTTTAGGACCTGGCCAGGTCACATCTGCAGCTTGAGGGGCAGAACTGGGAGCGGAAACCAATTTAGATGTAAGCAGGAGCTGTGCTGGGATGGCTGGATCCGAGACCTGGGGCAGGAAGGACAGGAGCCAGACCTGCTCAATGACCCGTCCTTGTATTGACAGCTGCATGGCCCCTGGCAGGACTGGGCTCCTCCAGGCAGGACACAGCACAGAGGGGCAGCCGGGTTGTTGCAGGCACCACAGCCCTGTGCCATGCTTCCCGGGCAAGCCACGGCCCCAGCACGGCCACCATGACCACCACCACCACCCAGCCATGGGGACAGGGGTATCTGCCCAGGCTGGGGTTGTGCACGGAGGGGAGGTGTTACCGGGCACCCGGAGCTGAGGGGTGTGGGGCTGGCGGCAGGGCTGCGGGGAGCACCTCCCCACGGGGCAGGGGCCGGGGGGAGCCCCGCTGGCGTGGCTGGGAGTGCAGGTGGGAGCAGGCCTGGGAGCACTCCTGCTCGGTCTCAAAGTTGTTCCTGTTCCCACCGCAGCCGCCGTAAATGAACTCTTCGCACTGCTGGCTGGATGCGTTGTAGAAGAAGCGGATGAAGAGCGCCTTGCAGTTCCCGCAGACCGAGGGCAGGTAGCAGAAGTCTGGGCAGTCCCAAGGGCTGAAGTGAGCCGAGGACAAGGCTCAAGGGGAGAGCGCTCCGGGGCCCCCGTGGCACTGAACCCCTCCCTGCCCAGAGCCACGTCTGCACCCACCTCCCCAGGAAACCATATCCCTCATCCCTGGAGCAGGCAGAGCTCAGGGATGGCATCCATGAGCCCCCTCCCATTGTGCCAAGCTCAGCCCCCTCACCCAGACCCCCCACACACTGCACACCGCTGGCCCTCACCGAGCACCGGCTCCTGGCACGTGTGGCCGCACTTGCCGGGGCAGCACTTGGTGGCACCAGGACAGTCGGAGTCGCCAGCACAGTGGGAGCAGGAGGTGTTCTTGTGGCACGAGCTGCAGTCCTGGTCCAGAGGGTTCTCCGCCTCCGAGATGTGGTGACAATACCCGGGCTTTGCTGAGGGACGCAGTGACCAGGGCTGAGCAGCCGCATAGGTCAGACCTCACAGCCCCCACCCCCACAGCCCCACGGCCGCCTGCACCACGACTGGGCTCCCTGAGCATCCCCTCCTCAGGAAGTGCCCCCACACACTCACCTGTCCCCATCTGCTCCTCTCTTCCAGGCACGTGTGGGGCCGGGACTGACCGTGCAGAAATGGGGAGCAAGAGGAGGAGGAGGAGGAGACAGGCTTGCTGCTCCATGGTGCCCACGGCTGTCCGCTCTGCGCCCCGGGTGTGGTGGGCTGGGATTTAAGGTGCGTCGGCAGGGCGGAGGATACGGGGCTGGCGCCGGAGCACTGCTAATTCCTGCCGTGCGGGTAACGAGCCGCACCCAGCGGGCCCGGCTTCCTCGGCGACATCTCGGCCACAACCCTAAAGCCGGGGGGACTGGTAGGACGGGAAGAATGCCCTAGTGCAGCCCTCAGGGTGTCCGGCAGCATGCTGGGGCTGCGGTGGGGATGGGGATGG